GTGCTTAATGAAAAACAAATATTGGCATGATACCGGTTGGTAAAAAATCACTTCCAGCGTATAGGCAATATCATGAGTCACAGATGGGAAGAAAACTATTACCAGGTGTGCATGCTTGGTGAGTAACACAAGAACGTACGTGAGGCTTGGATCCTACTCTCCTTTTTTGTTCATGACAGGCGCTTCCATTCGTAGGAGGGAGAGAGGCTGATACGCGCCAAGTCTGCCCTCTTGGTGAAGTGCCCCGCCTACTTTGATGCCCACCTTCTGCTCCTGAAGGGGCACTGACCCATAATGGCACAGTTTGGGAGAACATACGAACATAAGAGAAACCGTGTTGGATCAGGCCAATGGCCCATCCAGGCCAACACTCTGTGTCACCCAGTGACCAAAACCCAGGTGCCAGGGAGGGGGATGTGTGTAAGGACCGCAGGCTTGAGAATGTAATTAGAAACAATAAACGTACAGTCGAAGGTGGTGGTGGGAAGTGCCCCCTTGCAGACAACTTACAGCGACTTCATAGGGCTGTCAAGGCAAGAGACGTTCAGAGGTGCTTTGCCCTGCCTGGGTTTAGCAACCTTGAATTGCTTGGTGGTCTCCCACTCAAATACTAACCAGGGCTAACCCTGCTTAGCTTCCAAGACCTGGCAAGACCAGGCTTGCCTGTGCCATCTAGTCAGGGAATACAATACAATACAGAAGTAAAAACTGTTAAGGAACTAATGCATGTCCTAAGCCTCAGCTTACACACCGCTGGCTTCGAGCCTCTTTTGCTCTCCTGAATCCTCAGGGACATCTTATTTATTTACATCCTGCCTTTCTTTCCATTGGTGAACCGAAGCAGCTTACATCCTCCTCCTCCTATTTTATCCTTACAACAACCCCGTGAGGTAGGTTAAGGGAAGAGTCGGTGACTGGCCCAAGGTCACCCAGTGGGCTTTCATGGCAGAGCGGAGATTAGAACCTGGGTTTCCCAGGTCCTAGTCTGACACGCAACCTGACCTGGATGGACAAGGCTAGCCTGATCTTGTCGGATTTCGGAAGCTCAGCAGGGTTGGTCCTGGCTAGTATTTGGATGGGGGGAGCTCCAAGGAATACCAGGGTTGTGACACGGAGGCAGGCCATGGCAAACCACCACTGATTGTCTCCCGCCTTGAAATCCCCACCAGAGGTTGCCCACAAGACAGCTGTGACTTGACAGTTCTTTCCACCACCGCCACCACCTATCTACTATACCAGGCTGGCTGTGGATCTTACCTATTTGATCAAAGGCAGCCTAGTTCAGACTTGAGGTGGGGCAGGACGATGCCAGGAGGCTTGCAATTCTTCCATGGCAACTTCAGCCTCAGCCAAACTCAGCACATGACCGGGCATGAGGCGGTTTTGCAACAAAATGCATCAGAGGCTGGAGAAATAACCAGAGCAAAGAATGCTTCCCGAGGGCTGGGGCTCTCTCGTAATGGAACAGCCCTTAGAAACCCTGACTGCTGACTTGTAAGTCTGGAAACCGCTGTCGTCCGATCTGAAGTGGCCACCTTTGCTTGCTTGGAAGCCAGCGATGCAGCGAAGGAGCACAAAGTGATAAAAGTGCTTCCGTTGTTTGCTCGGCAGCCGCTGCCAAGGACTATTGTGGGACCTGCGCAGAGAGTACTTGAAGGCGCATTAGAGCTGCCTAACGCTGCCACTTCACGGCACGATCCGTGTCTCCCGCGCCTCAGTTCCCTGTGGATCTGTCAAAGATGTTTTTGCTCTTTCCTCCATCCCTCTGGGTAGCGTTGTTCTTTCCCCCTCTCACCGTCTTGTTCTCACTCGCTCTTTCAGTGGCAGTCTTAAATCTTGACTGCTTTCGACGGTGCTGGATCAGGAGCAGGAAAGACTCAAGAGTGGCAGTCCTCAAACTAAGGCATTTCAAAGGGAATTATGGTACAAGATTGCTGAGCTGGAGTTAATTCACAAGTTCAGGGCAAGGGACTCCCAGGTCTGGATCGGGACACAGGGTTCTTATCTCACTACAGATGCTTTTTTTGGGGGGGGGGAGAAAATTAGCATTTCCCCTCTGCTCTGATCAAGCTGATTACAATACACATGGTACCTTTCCATCCCTTTACAAGTATTCCTTACAACATCCTGCCCGCCTTCTGATTGGGACAGGATTCAGATCTCCTGTTCTGTTGTGTCTGACCAAGGGAGCCCTGACCTGGATAGCCCAATCTCATCAGACCTCAGAAGTTAAGCAGGTTCAGTCCCAGCTAGTATTTGGATGGGTGACCTCCAAGGAATACCAAGGTCGTGATGCAGAGGCAGGCAATGGCAAACCACCTCTGAAATGTCTCTTCCTTAAAAAAAAAAGTGTAACTTGCCACCTAGTGGTGCATAATACTAAAGAGCTAGCACTTCTGGCTGCCAGACAACCTTAGGATCTCCTGGCTATACTTGCACACAATCAGACAATCTTAGGCTCTCCTGGCTATACTTGTACACAATGCCATATGATGATGATGTTGATGATGAAGGTAGCTTTGACTCGTGAAAGCTTATGCCCTGAAACTCTTACTGGTCTCTGAGGTGCCGCTGGACTCAAATCGAACTGTTCAAGGGGTCATGTTATCACTAGCCTTTACCCTCTCCTCCTGTTCAAGCAAGAACAGGCTCTGGTGGGAAACAGCTCATTTTGCCGAGCGCCCATCTCTCGGTAATACACCCGAGCAGAAGCTTTCTTCAAGAGTTCTACCCGCCTAACTTAGCCTTCATTAAGAAAGCATGTTCGAAAAGGCTTTGCCTCTCAGGCCTCTTTACCGTCTAATTTGTCACTCTCTTTTCCCCTCCTCCATAAAAAGAGATACGGGAGTCAAGCAAGGCGCTGAACTTTATGCATGCCATACAATGTTGTGATCTGTCAATATTATTGTGTTGTTGTTCAGTCGCACAGTCGAGTCCGACTCTTCGCGACCCCATGGACAAGATCGCGCCAGGCCCTCCTGTTAATATTATACCACGCTGCAGGCCCCTTTGAAGCCAGCATGAACAGAAATGGCCTTGGTTGTCCTGACAGGGGGAGCACATTCCCGATCCTTCTTGAGGACCTGGTGGTGGTTTTTGATGCCGTCAGGAATTCTGGAGCAGCAGATGGAGTTGTGGGCTCTGGTGGCCCTCCTCATACCTGGCCGCCTGCTTTTGGAAGGTGACACTGGAGGACTACAGCTTGCCCCCAAAACATTTACAAGGTCTTGCAAGGGCCAGCTTTGCAACTTAACATCTATATGAAGTTGCTGGAAGAGGTTATCTGAGAATGTGGGTGTCACCAGTACTGGCATTTGACGTTCGTTCTGACAGCAGAGTCCAGTGAGTCCATGAAGGTCTGAACAAATGTGTGACGGTAGTGAGACAGATGAGGATAAATTGGGGCTCAGTCCAGGTAGGACTGAGATGCTGCTGGTGAGTAAGAAAGGTGCTCAGGGAATGAGGGGCCACAGCCTGCCTGGGGAAGGAGGCTGCAGGGTTGGCCGTGGCTAGTATTTGGATGGGAGACCACCAGGGGATACCAGAGTCTTGACTCGGAGGCAGGCCATGGCAAACTACCCCTGAACATCTCTTGCCTTGGAAACCCTACAGGGTCGCCATAAATTGGCTGTGGCCCGAGGGCACTTTCTACCAGCAGCTATTGAGGCATTTTAGTTATTTTGATTTTAAGATGTATCTCTGTCTCAGGTTGCTTGTTATCTTAGGCAGATGGTAGAAAGGGCAAGGCTTTTTAATAATTATTAATAATAATAATTGCAGATAATACCAAAGCGACCTTTCTAGGTAAGTCGAGCATAAACTACTGTCATTGACTCGAGAGCTACAGATCAGCATGAATCCTGTTGTCATCGTGGTGATTGCAACACGGAGGCGGCAATCAGGACGCCTCCAAAGATCTCAGTTGACAGTTTGGGTTCTGTTGATCTGCGGTTAACCTACTGCTGCTCATTAACCAGCTGTGACTAGAATGAGGCCGGTGTTTTTCTACCAGCCTGGTCTTCAGCATTAAGAGACACCCCAAACAACTACCAAATGTCTCAGATTTATAAGAAGGGGTGCAGAGAGGTGACCCAGGATTCACAGGCCACTTAGCCTAACATCTGTCCCAGGTAAATTAGTAGGAACTGTCATTTAAAAAGAGAATTATTAAGCACATGGTGGGAAAATTAACACGGCTTCTGCAGAGGAAACGCCTGCCTCACAAAACGTTTGGAGTTCTTTGGGCGAGCTAACAAGCACATGGATAAGGGTAGACACATTATGTACTTCCAGAAGGCTTTTGACGAAGGTACTTCACAGACGACTCCTGAGTAAGCTTAGCACAGAGTACGAATAAACTGACAGTTTTCACAAGGGGAGGAAGTGAGCTGGCAGGAGTCCACAGGGATGGGTACTGGGACCGGAGCTACTTCATTTGTTGGTAAATGCTTTCAAACTGTGGGTGAGCGGGGCAGTGGCCAAGTTTGCAGATAATACCAAATTATTCGGGACGGTGAAAGCCAAGATGAAGAGCCCCAGGGGGGATCTATTAAGAGTGAGTGAGCCGACCCTGGCCCTGGATAGCCCAGCCAAGTCCGATCTCGTCAGACCTCGGAAGCTGAGCAGGGTCAGCTCTGGCAAAGTACTTGGATGGGAGACCTCCAAGGAATACCAGGGCCCAGGAGGCAGAGGCAGGCTGTCAAGCCACTTCTCTGAATGTCCTCCATGCCCCAGTAGGAGGCGCCAGAGGCCGCCATGACTTCCAGGCACGGGCGCACATAGAAGCACACACACACAAAAATGCAAAAAATACAAAAAAAAAATAATGAGTGAGCTAGTGACAATACGGCAAATGAAGTCCAATATCGATAAGAGTTTTATAAAATGAAGTGTAGGATGGAGAAAACAGAGCTTCATCTCTTTCTCCCATAGCCCTAGAAGTCCGGGGTGTCTAACGAAACTGACAGGCAATAGGCACTCAGGACAAACAAAGGGAAATGCTTCATTACTTAAAAGGGAGCTCGGACAAATTCGTGGAGGAAAGAACCATCCATGCCTGCTAGACATAGTGACTAAAGGAAGCCTTTTGTTACCGAGGCAATAAAATTCTGACTCCCGGTGCCAGAAGGCAGCGACAGGGGAAAGCCTTGGCATCTGTGGCCTGTTTGTCGGCCGCTGAATAGAACAGGATGATGGACTAGATGGACCCCTGATCTGATGCAGCAAGGCCGCTCTCGTGTTCTTAGAATGGGCAGCTTCATGCTGGTGACATTTATCCACACACCCACTCAAGGCCAGCTCCTTTATTTGTTCAGAAAACAGAGTACAAAAGTGCTTGCATAGAAAAGGCAGCGATCCTGCTCGGGGTCTGACATCAACTACTGCAGGAGGAGGAAGGGGTGAATGGAGGATCGGCAGGAAGATGTGCAGCCCCAACTTCAGGGAAGGGGGACACTGCTAATACTTTCCCCTTCTGCTCCCAAGAGCGGAGAACTAAGGCAGCGGTGTGTGTGTGTGTGTGGGGGAAGCACAACGGAAGACCTGTGGGATCAGGCAGCTGAAGGCCTTGCACCTGGCTAGCTGGTTTTTCTTCGCTACAAGATAAAAGAGCAGAAGAAAACGAAAGGAACTCAAAGGAGTAGGGAGGCGGAAACGCAAGGACCCTGCCGTGGCCCTGAGTACTTCTGCTGCCTGCTCGCGGGAGACTGCCGGCTGAACCAGGGAATTCAGAACACGGATTCCACATCGCCCATCTCCACGCAGACAGTCTTCAGCTGGGAGTAATACCCGATCGCTGCTTCGCCGTTCTCTCGGCCAAACCCTGCAGAAAAAGAGAGAGCCTTGAGGGGACTGACTATTTGGTCGTCTCCGGGAATGGCTCTGGAAGGCATGTCTCGATGTAACGCAGAGTGGGGCACGGAGTTCTGAAGCCGGCCGTAAAGAATGAGAAGCAGGGTCCCCAACGTGGTGCCTGTGGGTGCCATGCCACCCGCCAACGCCTCTTCTGGCGCCCGCCAAGTGGTTTTGAAGAAGTGGGTGGGGCCGGGTGGGGCTCTTCCCAGCAAGGCTTCTGATTGACCACTGGAGATTTTTGGAAAATGTCGCTTGGGCAGCAGCTGCCACCACAGCACAAAGATCTGCACTGTGTGACTAAAGTTAAGCTGTGGCCTCCTGCAGCAGCCATTTTGTGGCAACCATTTTGTTGCTGTGTCCACCATGCCGTGTCAGAATTCCAAATGTGTCCGCAGGGTCCAAAAGACCGCAGACCCCTGATGCAAGGGATAACAAAGTCAGTCTTTGGAAGGGCAGGGCTTTTTTGGCAGAAGGGTGTACAGAGAAGCTCCTAAGATGCCTGGGATGCTCCTCGCGGGGATGACTCTGGTTTCCCGTCTTCCAAATGCAGATGTGCTCACTTCTGAATCAAGTGCCCCTGCTCAGGGAAGGCAGGTGGATTTATAATACCTGGGGTGTAAACGAAGCAGCTCTGTAACCGGCCGGCCTCTGCTACCAGGTGTCAGTGTGGTTTTCCCTGAACCTGACTTCCGTACATCTGAATAAAGCATAGTGCCTTCACTTTCACCATGATCCCGATTGCTCCAGTTCTCTCTGCATCCAATCTAACAACTATTTGTCATACCTAATCTCCACCCACCCTTGGACGAGTTCATTCCAAATCCCACTCTGCAGGTATTTCAACCAAAGTGGTATTATTTTACTTATATATTTATCCCACTGTGCGGCCAGAACTTGGCTCCAAAACTGGTTTATGGCAATTCACCACTAATGCGCAATCTCAGAAGGGGCTGGTGTTCCCACCCTCTTGGCCAGTTTCTGCACGGAGGGGCTGAGATTCAGCAGACAGAACGGGGCTGTGCAAAGAGTGGGCTGAGTCGGTCACCTGACATCTTGTAGCCTCCAAAAGGCAGCTCCACGGGGCTGATGTTGTAGTTGTTGATGAAACACATCCCGGCCTGCAGACCCGCCACGACCCTGTGAGCCCGCTGGATGTCCCTGGGGAGCAAAGAGGTGGGTGGCGGGTTAAGTGCAACCTTCTGATCCCCAGCAACACCCCCCCCTCCTGAAACATCCCCCTAGACTTCATTTCCTGTAAGGCATGGCAAAAAAATTACTTATTCACTGCCTTTCTCCCCACTGTGGATCCAACGTAGTTTACATCGTCCTCTCCCTCGTTTTACCCTCACCACAGCCCTGTGAGGTTAGGTTAGGTTAAGGATGCGGCTGCTAATGTGGTATATGATAACAGCAGCAAGAATAGTGTATGCCCAAAATTGGAAACTGGACAGAATCCCAGGGGTAGAAGAATGGATTAAAAAACTGCTTTTTATGGCAGAAATGGACAAGATGACAAGAAAACTGAAAGGTTTGGAGGCGGAAGAATTTTTTCCGGACTGGAAGGATTTTAAGGATGATTTAGAGAAGAATTGGGATGTGAAGGACCATCTGATTTGCTTTGAAAATTATTAAGTGGATGTAAAAGACGAAAGAAATGGACTTATAATGATAATTATGTGAACATTTGCTACCTATGGTTATGTGATAAAAGATTAGAAACATGTTAGAGTTTAAGATTTGAGCTGGTGGTGGGAACGCTGTTGGAAGCCTAGGAAAGGGGGGGCGGGGAGTAAGAAGAAAAGGATATATATTGAAGTTGATATAATGTGAATGTGTATTATCCTAATAAAAGTTGTTTTTTTTAAAAAAAAAGTTAAGGGTGCGGCTGGCCCAAGGTCACCCAGTGAGCCTCCATGGCAAAGGGGGGGATTCAGATCTGGGTCTCCCAGATCCTAGGCTGATGCTCTAACCACTACGCCACACTGGCTCCCCTGCACCAAATTCTGCAAGGCACACCTGCCACCTTCGAGGAGGCGCCAGCAGATCAGGACAGCTCCCAGTTCTAGTCTGCAAAAGCAACTGGAGCGCAGGATGCATCTCTCTGTGTCTCGGGCTGATTTCCCGTTTCCCAGCTACCAGCTGTTATACACACCACACTGGCGGAACACGCAGACCCCGCTGTCTGTCCGGTCTGGCCCTGGACGTGCCTCCCGCTCCCCCCTTTCCCCCTGAAACCAGCTCCTCTTTTTTTTTGTCGGTGGTACCTGGTAAAGACGCCCCCCGCCAGGCCAAAACGGGTGCTGTTGGCTCTCTCCAGGGCCTCCTCCTCCGAATCAAAGGGCAGAATGGACATGACGGGCCCAAAAATCTCCTCCTTGACACAGGTCATGTTGTCCTCGCAGTTTCCTGGGAGCAACACAGGGAAGTGACTCACTGGCTACGCAACATCCGGTGAGGCAGACAGCCAACCTTCTCCCCAGCCATACAGTGGGCGGGCACTTAGATCTGCCCGATTAAAAGCCCCAACTGCTGCCCAAGGTAAAGAATTGGCCACTGAACAAGCACCCCGGTCCTGTGTGCGTTTGCTGGGAAGGAAGTCTCACTCGGTTTGATGGGACTGATTTGGAAGTAAGCTTGCACAGGTTTGCTGTGGATTCTGCAGGAATTATGACGAAACCCTCTTAAGAGACAAGGTGTGTGATCAGGACAGAGCCTGTCTGCCGGACTTGGCCCTCTCCAAAACAGTCCCATCACATGCAGTGTAAAGGTTTGCTCAAACTAGAGCTTCCTGAGCATCAAAAATGCATGTGCCACAAGCAATGTACCCTCTAAGCTATGGAGTCTTGTGAGCAAAAATTCTACTTTGTCAGAGCTACTGGCATTAAAGTTGTGAGCGAGAGATTTGGCTACTGCATAAATCAGTTTGCTCTGGAGCCATCCTTCCTGAGCTGAGACAAAAAATGTGTGAGCCGGAGGCTAAAAAACTGTGAGCTAGTTCACACAAACTCAGCTTAGAGGGAACACTGGCCACAAGGAGGAATTTGGGCCCTGGCATACGGCGACTCCACACGGGTCTGTCTTTAGGGAAGTATTCAAATACGCAACCCACTCCCTGAAATCTGAAGTTACTTTCCTGAACATGCAGTTTGCCTTAGAAGCAGGGGCATCCTGGGAAATATTTCCCTCCCTCTCAGCCTCAGGAATGAAGAGAAAGGAAGCCAATTTCTTCCACTAGATAAACGGGCTCCCGTCTTCCTTTCTAAGACTGAGAAACGACACTGCCTTCCCAGCAGCATCTGCACAAGCTGAGCATTGCCTATATATCAGGTAGTCTTCACACCCTCCCCTCCACCCCGCAGCAAAGCACAGCCAGAGCTTTGACAAGTTAAAGGGGCCAGCTGAACAGCATACCTAGGATGCAGGGAGACATGTAAAAGCCATTTTGCAGCTTGGGGTCATCCGGTACATACGGCTCCCCTCCGCACAGCACCTCCGCACCCTGACAATGAAACAACGGGAGGAGAAGCACCAGGAGAGTCATGCTAGCATGAGAACCATCAGCCGATGGACAGACTCTATGGGAATCACCGGGGGGGACAAAATGTGAACTGGCCTCACCCAGGACATCCCCCGAGGGACAGTGGCTGCTGGCCCCATCGCAACCAATGGTGATGGAGCAGGCTGAGACTTTTCCCAGGTGTGAAGCATTCTGTGGATACTGCAGGGCCATGGCAGGGTTGCTAACCCCTGGGTAGAGCCAGGAGGTCTCCCAGAATTACAGCTGGTCTCCAGACAACAGAGATCAGTTCCCCTGGAGACAAATGTCTGCTATGAAGGGCACACTCTGTGGCATTTATATACTGCTGAAGTCTACGCCCCCCCCCCAAAGCTCACTCTCCCCAGGCTCCACCCCTAACATCTCCAGGAATTTCCAAACCCAGAGATGGCAACCCTAAGCCACAGATTTCTATGACCATACCCTGTTCTTCAGTACGGGCTGAACTAGACATCTGGAACTACAAGTGTTCTACTTGATAGGTAACAGCTCTGTGGGAGCCCAATCAGATCAAAACCCATGGTTGCAAAGGGTATGTTGTATGAACCCTTCCCTACCTGAAACGGCCTCATGGGGCGGTTTGCCTTGTTTGGGCAAATGTACAAGCATTTTGTGAGTGGCGTGCACATTGACACGACAAACAGCAGTGGACCATTTCAAGTCAGGAAAATGGGTGTGGTTGAAGGGTTCTATCTGAATCGGGCCCCGACACAGGTGTTTATGAAGAGAAGAACTCGGAAGACCTGAACGTGCAACTCCCAACGTCTTACTGGATTTCCTGTTTTTTGGATCTTCATTCCCTGGGCAGAAGTTTACAATCTGGAGCCCAGCCTACAGCTCCTTTGCACAGACTCCCAAATTGCCCTGCACACGTCAAGCAGTCTTATAGTGAATCAGACCACTGGTTCATCAAGGTCAGTATTGTCTACTCAGACTGGCAGCTGCTCTCCAGGGTCTCAGGCAAAGAGGTCTGCCCTTTTAAACTGGAGATGCCAGGGATTGAACCTGGGACCTGCTGCATGCCAAATACATGTTAAGCCACTGTGCCATGGCCCCTCCCACTAGAGGGAAACAAAAGCAGGAGAGCAGTGAGACCAAGTATCTATACACAGTGGCTCGGGGGGAAAGTGTGATATCTCCCCCCCCCCATGAACATTTGTTGATTTTGGACCCTATTTCCCTGACTCATAGAATGGAGCATGGAAATCTTGGTGTTTTACACACCTTGAGAGATTCTTAATAACCAGTCGGTTTCTAGACCCCTTTCCCAGACTGGCCTCCGTAGGGTTTCCTTCTGCTCCACAGCGGCACTCACGGCTGAGAAGAGCCAGCCCGAGCACGAGGCCAGCAAGCGGCAGCCCCTGACACTGTGCCAAGTGAACTTTAAATGAAGCTTGAAAGGGATTATTCAGGCAAAGTACACTTCAGGGGCAAAGTTGCTGCACCGGGTGTGGCACGCCACCTCTGAACCCAAGGGCTGGTCCTGACACTCGGCATGCTGCAGTGGAGGGCCCTTGAGAAGAGCACAGGAGGCAGGCTCAGAAGTGGTGGGATTGGCAATGGGTCAGCTGGCAGCGTCCCGCCACCTGAACTTCGTCCTTTGCTAATCACTCCTCCCTTCCACAAAGCGTCTCTGGCACCGCAGCACAA